ACTTGCTTTGGTCCCAATGGTGTTTATTCCTCCGTTTATACTTTTTTTTTTTTTTTTTTTTTTTTTTTTTTAGGGTCTCGCTGTGTAGTTCAGGCCGGCCGAGCCGCGCGCCCCGCCCAGCCCCCCGCCCCGCGCCCCGGGATGACTTGTTAACCGGCGGACACACCGAGGGGACAGGAGTGGACTCCGAGTGGAATTTGGATTTGGAGAAGAGTTTCCTGGACATTTACCCTCCTCCGTGTTGGTGTTTTTTCTTCCTTTTTTCTTTTCTTTTCTTTTTCTTTTTGGCTTCTTTTTGCGCCTTCTCCGTGTCATTGGGATGAACACAGCTCGCTTGCATCTCAGAAAGTAGCCGCGGCTGTGGCCCCAAAGAGCACACATGTAGGAATGACAAAGGCTGGCAAAGCGGAGCGTGCAGCCCGAGGCCCGGAGCGAGCTCGATAATGGATTACTAAATGGGATACACGCCGTGCCAGCCCGTCCCGAGCCGGCCGCCTGCACGTCGATGCACCGAAAGGTACGGCCGGCTTCCCTGCGCGCCCCACCTCCGGAACCGCGGGGCCCGGCCGCGGGTCCCGGGCTGACACCACCTCCCTCAGGCGCGCGCCGTGGCCTTTGTAGTACCTGCGTTGTATTTTGTCTCTTTTCTCTCTCGAGCGCTGCCCGGTCCTGGGGGAGCAGTCCCCAGCCCTGCCCGCCTCTCCCCTCATCGTGCGCCCCGGGATCACCCGGCCCGGAGCCGAGCCCTTCCCCACCCGCGCCTTGCACACGCCCGGCGCCGCCCCGCACCGCGACGGCTTGGGTGGCCGCCCTGCCCAGGGCTGTGCGGTCCGAGGCTCGTCCCGGCTCTCCCGCCAGCAGGGAGCAGAGTGGGCCCGAGAGGGTGGGATGGGGAGCGCTCCGTTCCGGCGGGGAAGGCTGGAGAAGGCGGTCTGCCCTCCGGAGTAAGGGGTGTTGGGAGGAACGCCGCTGCTCTCGTCCGCTTTGGTTTGGGTTCTAGAGGGGAAGGAAGCCTTCCCCGGAGGCAGTGGGGAGGAGACGAGAGCCTTTTGTTGTCAGCGCAGGATCGGGACTGAGCTCCCCCGAGTGCGGGAAACTTGTGATGGCCCTGGGCACCCGCGGGGAGACCCTTGCTCCAGAGGCCCCTGGCACCGGAGATTCCGAGCTTTGTTCGCTCCACTGCGTACCTAGGAGCGGCCACTCGGTGTTGCGCGGTGCCCTGGCTCTAAGTCCGGTCCGCATCTCAGCGCTCAGATGAGCGGCAAGTATGCTGCCCGCCGGCCGCGTCCCACGCAAGCAGAGTCCTCTGCGCTGGGGCTGCCGCCTGCTGCGCCCTCCTTCGAGCTCGGTGCTGTCCCTCTGGAAAGGGGGTCCCTGGAGGGAGGATGGGTAGGTCTGGCAGGGGATAGCCCCGGCTGGCCACTCCGAGGGGGACGCTTCCCCAGCCCCGGGTTAAGGGCGTGCGACTTCTCCACTCGTCCGGGAGCTGCCTCTCTGTCCTGGAGTGAGCCCGGCAGTGCCCGCCCACCCCTCCAGACCCTGGGCGGACGGGAAGCGTCTGCTATCGATTCCTCGCGTTTTTCTCAGTTCTCCACTGTGGGAGACCAGGCGAGGCAGGATCCCGAGGTCTCCTCCCTCCTTGCACCACCTGAGCGGCCAGCCGGGGAGCTGTCCCGGACTTCGGGATGCCGGGAAAGGAAACAGGACTCAACACCTTTTCCGCTCCCGGCCGCCCCTGCCCCGGACGCTTCCTCCCTTACACAGCCGGGTTACTGAGCTTGGCTGTTTTGGAAAGTTTCTCCGAGGGTGGCGGGCACGAAAGGATCGGAGCTCAGCGTGTTCAGCCTGCGGGAACCCGGCCGGAGGCAGCCGTGTGGACAGCCGAGAGAGGTGGCTAGGAGCCGTTGCTGGCCCTCTGCAGGGTGGCGCCTCCTGGCCCGCGGTACCTGCTGGACCAGTCTCCCGAGCAGTGGGGGAAGGGTTAAAGGGATGGTGTAGAGCAGATCTCAGGGGCTGGTGTGATGGCGGTGACCCTGGCTGGTGCGAGAAAGCCTGTGGACCCAGGCCCGGGTTGCACAGCTGCAAGTGCCGCACTCCAGCCTCCTGCTCACCGCGCGCAGTTCCTGCCGGGGAAGGTCCAGGGAGGAGTGGAAATGCAGTCAGGTGCTCGTGGAGCCTCGCAGGGACTGGAGACCAAAGATGCTGTCTTCCTAGCCAGGACATTTCCAAGGGGCAGCGGCAGCCTCTAGCCTGTGCGGCGCTCGGCAGCCCTCCCTCCAAGAGGTTTCGGGAATGCGATGGCCAAGGACGCCACAGAGGGATCGCGCTTTGTTTACTCTTCCTGGAAATCTAGTTACTACTCGTGAAAGGCTTTACGCACAAGGCTCTTGAGGACGCACACAGACCCCTGTCACACTTCCCGTGCGCAACTTTCTTTGCTTCTTGTCTGGAAAGCCCCTTACCCTGGATGCAGCACTGTGCCAGCAGGTCTCAGGAAAGCTACTGAATGCCCCCCAGCGCTGGTTTTGAAGTTTTTCCCGGGTGGGAAAATCCAGTTCTGATGCCTGGCTTTTCTTTACTCCTGATAGTTGTAGGCCTTCCTTCCCCTGGTGGACATACATTTTGGGCATCAAGCCCACCGTCTGCTACTGTGGAGAGCAGGGAAAGATTAGTGGTTCAAAATACATTAATCTTTTTGCTTTCCGGAAAAGGTAAAGATGCTTGTGTTCAATTCTAAATGAAAATACTCTCACTTTTTTTTTTTAAACCTCCCCCAAATGGCTAGCAGAGGTCAAGATTGGAAGCATTTTTTGTAGTTTCTTTAAAATTATGTTTAGTCATTTACAGTGAGCTTTGATTAAACTACTCCAGGCACCAAAGTTAATTATTAACCTAACCTTAAATATAGTGGCAGACCTGTGTCTCCACCTATTAACCTGAGTTATCTGTTAACAAGTAATTGCACTAACTACTTGTATTTGGCTTACCCATTCTTGTTTATATGGTAACTTACTTGAATCCTGAGTAAATACCACTCCCTGTTTGTACTTTGGTTTGAGACATTTTTGAATGAGACATTTTCCAAAACACCCTAAATCAGAGAAGAATGCACACTAGATTTAACACCTTAATTTTGTTCTATGAATTTTTTGTCATGATGTAAAGAAGTATTGTTTCTTCTTTAATGTTTAAGGGGCCAATCTTCCTGATGTGTTATGTTTTGCAACTATAACCCTTAAGAAGTGCCCCACATTCTCAATACTATATGTGAATATTAAGCAGACATCCAAAATCATTATCTCAGGAGCCACCCACACAATATACTGACTGGACAAAACCTCTAAATTAAAGTAAGGTAAAAATTAGTAAGACCTGATAAAGAGCACTCAAGTAAACATTGCATGAATAATTGAATGAATAAAATAGTCACACCTGGTTCATATTTCTCCACTTAGAGCATATTTATTTACTTTTCTTACGTAAAAAATGTCTGTACCTTCAATTAAGTGAGTACAACACTTTCCACACAAACACAGACTCCTCAAATTCTTTCAAAGTTTAGTGCTTTTCTAACTTATTAGAAAAATATTATTAGAAAAAATATTATAGAAAACAACATTTACATGTTGAGTAGGCTAACAATAAACTAGTGAAGTTGAGTGTGTTGAATCAGAATAGCAAAAATTAGAAAGACCGTTATCTTTGTTGAATAAGAAGACATCTAAGTTAAGAACATGTATTAAATGTAAAGTTTATATTTGTGCTATAAAAGGAAGTGGGTGTTTTGCACTCCTATATAAAACGGGGGAAATACTGTTTTGAGCAAAGGAGTAAGTCAGATTGTTTACTTACTGCGTATAAAAGATTGAGCTTTTTTGCTCTAGGATAAAAGGATGATAATGGGACAAAAAATGTGTTTTAGAAGTAGATTGCCGAGAACTAATATATTCTCCCCCTTTATTGTTTGCAGAAAGGAATCACAGAACGAGCCAAGCTAATTGCAAATGCTTTAATTAAGCACCTGCCATTTGCCTGCATGTAAAGGGGAGCTCTTCACTGCCCCCCCAGCCCCCCATGCTTAGGTATAGATGATTTATCAGCCCACTCCCGGAATGGGTGTTTCTTAACATACTTACTTAAAGGTCCCATGGTACAGCAGACATTTGTGCCTGCCATGGAAAGGTGCAGCCTTGAAGTATTATGCCAAGCCTTCTCATCCAGGAACCCCTACTCTCTTGGGGTACCCTGGAGCCAAGTTGTCTTTGAGATACTTCTATTTCACAGTGAAGGCTTTTCCCATCTGCCTTAAAGTGTGCTACAAGAGCAACTGAGCTATTCTCTGCTGGCAACCACACGGTAGCCTCTTGGGGATATGGTAAAGTGGGGAAGGGAGGCATTTAATCCCTTTGAAATGGGCAAATAAGATGTCATACCCACAAACCTCAAGGGGACAAGGGAGCTCAGGACTACTTAGCAAGGGACTATTACTGTCTAGTGCATACACAAAAGTTTCTTGCTTTGTGAAGCAGGTGAGAACTTGCAAAACTTCTTCAATAGAATAACTCAAATCATATTAATGTAAAGTGTCGTGACAAACTGTCTACAGTATTTTGGACCTGGCAGATAGCCGGTGCTCCCTGGGTAGGTAGCTCCTCTTCATTATAAAAGGCACCTCCAACTCAATATCTTCAGAAAATCAAATTCTAGCCCCTCTTTGCAGTTTGCTTTCTTACAGTCTCCACCATGAGAATTCCATTATTTGAGTTACTTGGATCTCAGGGTTTAAGGTTTACCCTTGACTCTTCCCTTGGCAGTGTTGTGGCTCCACCCCCAGAGTGCGTGCCGACTTCCTCAGACTCTGCCACCCCAGTGGCCACACAGCAGCCCAGCCATGGCGTTCTGGCTACAGCCTCCCCGCTCCCAACTTGCTTCCCTGCTTCGGCTCTTGGCCACTACTGACTTTTCTCAACATACTTGTTTTTACTTTTGTTTTTTAAACTAAGCTAGGTCAGTTAACTTCTCTGCACAGGTACTTTCCCATCTTGTTCTAGTAAAAGCCAAAGCCCTTACCGTGGCCTCTGCACTTAGGCCTCTCCCTGACTTCCAGCAGTCCTGTCCTGTGGCTACTTCTGCCTACCAGGTCTGCTGTCCTTCGGGGTCCTTTGCAGCACCTCTGCACAGGCTTCCTGCATGGCGTGGACTGCTCTTTCCCCACACAGCTGTGTGACTTGCTTCCCCCATCCCTGGGATCTCTGCACAAATGTCGCTTTTTCAGCACAGGCTCTCTGATCGTTGTACTTTATCCTTCTACCCAAGCACTTGCTACCCATTGTAGGCCCCCTTTCATCGCTTTGTACTTCTCACCGTCTAACCGACTCTGTGTTGTCCTTGTTTGTTTTCTGTCCTCCTCCAGAACACAATGCCATGGGGACGTTTTTATGCTTTATTCTCTGCTCTCCCTCCAACCTCTGGAACAGTGACTTGGGCATCACAGGCCCTCCATACCAAGGATTTGTT